GGTTCTCAAACTTTTTACAGCGGCGTACCCCCTGGGGCATTTAACATACTTCTGTGTACCCCCTCTCTTCCACTTAGACCGCAGTCACACCTTTTCTAATAAAGGACAATATTTGCACCCTTAAATTGATTTACAGGTGCATTTTCCTGTTTTTACATTAGAAGCGACATTTTGCTTGTCAGAAATACGTTCGGTTTTAATGTTGCTTTCTGTTGGCTCGCAGTGGACACATACAATTAAGCTTCTGCTGGTCAGGCTCCCGAAAGGGAGGAGGACAGAAGGCCTGGAGTACGACAGGCCATGGTGCAGATGAAGGGACCTTAGGAACATACCCCGGCCTGGGGTACAAAAACGCTTTGGCCAATCTGGGTGCAATGTCTAGGAAAGAGGGGGCCACGGATAGGGCCTGAAGGTCACCAACTATCTTAATTGAAGAGATAGCCAGAAGGAAGTTAGTCTTTAGAGTGAGGAAACGCTCAGAAATCTCTTCAATAGGCTCGAAGGGAGGTTTACAGAGAGCTTCTAGCACCACAGCCAGGTCCCACGGGGGGACACGGGACCGTACCAGAGGCCTCAGCTCACAGACTCATGACCACACCCCAACCAGTGAGGGACGCATCCGTTGTTAGCGTTACGCGACGACAAGGAGCTCCCATCACCGGGCCCTGAGACAAGAACCACGGTTTTCTCCACATGTCTAAGGCACGTAGTCATCGCCGCATGACCTTGATCATGCGAAGTGGGTTGCCCCTCGGGGAAAACCCCTTGGTCTTGAGCTACCACTGTAGGGATCTCATATGCAGCAGGCCAAAAGGTATCACATTGGACGCAGCTGCCATCAGACCCAGCAGTTTCTGGAACTGCTCGACAGTGGGACCGTACCAGAGGCCTCAGCGCACTGTGGAGGAAATGTGTAACTAGGGGGTTTCTGCCCACTGACTGACCACCGAGAGGTGCGTGGTATGCCACTATGGCCACCACATAGACCTTCAAGGTGGAGTGGGTCAACCCTGCGGAGAAACGGGCCTGCAGGAACTGCAGTTTCTGGAACTGCTCGACAGTGAGTGACCAGCCTTCTCTCACTCTCGCGACTGTAGTGAGGATCGAGTCGATCCGAGCAGGAGACAGACATGCCTGCATCGTGGTCAAATCCCACGCCACGCCCAGATAAGTGGTTCTCTGTAGTGGAGAAAGCACACTTTCGGGACCGTACCAGAGGCCTCAGCGCACTGTGGAGGAAATGTGTAACTAGGGGGTTTCTGCCCACTGACTGACCACCGAGAGGTGCGTGGTATGCCACTATGGCCACCACATAGACCTTCAAGGTGGAGTGGGTCAACCCTGCGGAGAAACGGGCCTGCAGGAACTCCAGCACTGAACCAACCAGGCAGTTAACTGGGTCAAGCTCCAAAAAGTGAAAAGCTTCAACTTCAAGGCATACAGTTTCCTGGTGGAGGGAGCTCTGGATTGGAGGATTGTCTCAACAACCTTAGTTGAGAGACTGGAGGCTATGAGCTGTGCCCCCTCAGGGGCCACACCCACAGCTTCCACAACTCCGGGCGGGGGTGGAAGATGGTGCCCCCCCGCCTGTGAGAGGAGATCCCTCCTGACGGTAATCTCCCATGTTTCTTGGGGTTTAGTCTTATCCCCAGCTCTTTCATATGGGTGAGAATGACATCTCAATGCCGAACCACCATGTGCTCTGATTGAGCTAATATCAACCAATCGTCGATATAATTGAGTATGCGGATGCCATGGAGTCGCAGTGGAGCCAGATCAGCATCCACACACTTTGTGAAAGTGCGGGGTGAGAGTGCAAGGTCGAACGGAAGAACCCGATATTGGTAAGCTTTACCCCCAAAGCAAACCTCGGGAACCTCCTTTGTAGTGTAAGGATGAGGTATGCATCCTTTAGATCAATCGTGACAAACCAGTCCTCGGACCTGATCTGAGACACGACCTGTTTCATATGCAGCAGGCCAAAAGGTATCACATTGGACGCAGCTGCCATCAGACCCAGCAGTTTCTGGAACTGCTCGACAGTGAGTGACCAGCCTTCTCTCACTCTCGCGACTGTAGTGAGGATCGAGTCGATCCGAGCAGGAGACAGACATGCCTGCATCGTGGTCAAATCCCACGCCACGCCCAGATAAGTGGTTCTCTGTAGTGGAGAAAGCACACTTTTCTTGGGGTTTAGTCTTATCCCCAGCTCTTTCATATGGGTGAGAATGACATCTCAATGCCGAACCACCATGTGCTCTGATTGAGCTAATATCAACCAATCGTCGATATAATTGAGTATGCGGATGCCATGGAGTCGCAGTGGAGCCAGATCAGCATCCACACACTTTGTGAAAGTGCGGGGTGAGAGTGCAAGGTCGAACGGAAGAACCAGATATTGGTAAGCTTCACCCCCGGAAGCAAACCTCAGGAACTTCCTGTGATGGGGAAGGATGGAGACATGAAAGTATGCGTCTTTTAGATCTATCGTGACTAACCAGTCCTTGGACCTGATCTGAGACCCGACTTGCTTGATAGTGAGCATCCTGAACTTCAGTCGCATGACTGAGCGGTTCAACTGACGCAGATCTAAAATGGGACGCAACCCTCCATCCTTCTTTGGAACAATGAAGTACAGGCTGTAGAACCCGGACTCTCTGTCGAAAGGAGGGACCACCTCGATGGCCTCCTTCCTTAAGGGAGTTTTTACTTCTTGTTCCATTACCAGAGCCTGCTCGGGGCCCACGAGAGTGGGAGTGACCCCGTTGAAATGAAATGGAGTTCATGTCGTTGAAATGCCTTTTTCTACAGTGTGCAGGACCCATTGAGACACATTTGGCAGAAGCTTCCACACTGCCAAATAGTCTACTAAGGGAATCAGTCTCTCAAGACTGACCTCTGGTGTACAAAGAGCTGCTAGCACGGTGACCTGAAGCGGAGGACCGGCAGGGGACAGCCAATCTAGCTGCTCTAGAGACCTCCTTGGAGGTGGCGAGCCCCCCAAGGTCCGCTCCGTTTCTGGGCAGAGGCTGAGGGAAGCACTCGTTGAAGACCACTGTGACCTGAAGCACCGGGGGTGGCAGGGTTGACAGACCGATCTCCTGAGGGCACTGAGCAGAGACGGGCACCGTATGATGAGCTGTACACTGTTCTCCCCCAGAGGGGCCTGCCCTCAAAAGTCCTGAGCCACCAGTATCAGGACTTCTTGGCCGAGGACTTCTTAGCCTGAAGGATGGTCCGCAGATCCGGCTTCGACTTCGAAGTCCTCGACCGGTGAGAGACTCGGTGATATCCTCTGACTTAATCTCGTTGCCCTCATCCAGCTCCTTCAGCAGGTCGGCTTGGTACACTTGTAACACTGCCATAGTGTGAAAACGCACCAGTCTGACCCGCTGCCATGTACCCTTTGCCCACCAAGCTAGATGTAGTACGCAGCGGCTTGGAGGGCAGTGCCGGAGCTTTCAGAGACGATGCCGAACCGGGCTTTTGAATGAGATTTTTTTTCTATTTTCTAGTTTCTCATTTTTTTTTTTTTTATATTAATATTTATATATATTTACTAATATACTATAATAATTGTATCACATTTTTTATATATGACTATATAAATTTTTTTTTTCATTTTAGAAAAATGTTGCTTTTTTATATATTTAAATTTATTTCAAGTCAATTATTTCAAGTATAATATTTATTTTTATGTATGTATGTATGTATGTATATATTTATTTATTTATTTATTTATTTATTTATTTATTTTTCTATGGTTTTAGTTTTACTTAACGATAATAACCTCATACCAAATACATGAAATCATAGGTTTGGAACAATATGAGATCGGGTAGGTGATTTTCCATTTTGGATGTGATATTCCTTTTACTTTCTGGAGGGAAAGTGTTGGTATAATAATTGCAACCCTGGCTGATGCATCTTATCATGAACAAGATGAATGATTATCAATGCATGAATCAAACTCATTTAGAATGCCCACGAATTTTGACATGGTTTTCCACACATCATTTTTTATTATGTCCCTGTATGTGGGCAGCAACTAATCATGTAAAACTAGTCAAACGTCTGGCTGTGCAAAACTAGCATACACTCAGTCTGGCCGCGGTATCTGATAAGTGACAGATCATGTTAGCTTCACTGTCTGTGTTCCTCATGGGTCACTGCTCCTTTGCCTAAAGTTTCTATACTTTAAACAACTTCTTGTCAGCTGACATTGCATCGGTTCAGTTTATATTAGATAATTACTAAATTAAAAACATTTTCAGATCATGTATTACCTTGTTAAAAAAGTACACTTTTGCATACAAAAATGGATGTAATGTTTTTGAACACTTAATTGCATGTCATTTACATTTAAATGAAAATGTATTGCAAAGTATGACACACCTACAGTTTTTTTTTAGATTTGAAGTACACATTCAATACAGTAAACCACAGTTTTTTCACAAGAGCTAACATTAGACTGTGTCTGCAAATGCCCTTAATTAACACAGTTACTAAAAATGAGAAGTCTCTTGATAATTTCTAGTTTGTCGGAAATTATTCTAGTGACTCTCACACCTCTTTTCAGGACTAATAAATGAGAATGGGATTTGTTGAGAAATTTTGATTACTTCTTGCATGTGGGCTGTAATAATTCACACCTGCACCTACAAAAACAGGTTGCAATCTAACATTGAATACATGTATACATGAAATGTGCGGTGCAGCTCATGTGTTTTAATGTGGTTTCAGATTTTAGTGCTGTGGAACTGTGAGAAGCCTCCACCACCTAGAAACAAGTGGCCCTCCATCACAACACTCTTCTCTATCATTGAGGGCAAAAGAAAGGTGAGATGGGAGAAAGATGATGAAATAAATAGTATAATTGCATGTTGGTTTAAAGTCTTGGCATGCAGTTCTTGGCACAACCACACACATGCAACGAACACTTTGCACACATGCACACAGATTAGCCTTCTAGATAAAGACTTTTTATTTTAAATGTTATATTTTTTTGTTGTTTTATTTTTATGCAAATGTATTTATTATAGATATTAGATCAATCCTGCCGATATTTTGCTATTTTAGAATTAAAATAATTATAATTTAGTGTGTAAATCATTTTAAATCATTTAAACCATTTTCATTCCCCCAAGCAAGGTTTTGTCATGTTTAGTTAACTTCCAGGGACAGATTTGTACATAAAGTGCAGGTAAGTGAAGTTAGACTCAAACTTTCCGGTGTGAAGGAAACAAAATAACACTTAACAGGACAGATGTCACCATTTAAAAACTATAAAATTATTTAAAATAAATTGTGTGTGTGTATGTGTGATATCTGCACAGCTGTGTGTGGGTGGTTATGTGAATATTCTGAATGCATCTTATCATTAGCACCTTTCAGACTTTGTCTGCTCATCGTCATCCCTCTTTGCACATGTTTTACTCATTTACATCTTGTCATGTGTTATTTGCAGAAACAGTTAGCCTGAACAACTTAATGTGATGGATTACTCTGTCTCCTCACCTATCCCTTAGTTGTTTTATCTCAAAATGTAGCTATTTAGGGTTTTTAAATAGAGTCGATGGAAAATGTGAGGAAAAAAAGATCTTAGGAGAAAATTATATGTTTAACTCAATATATTTGTGAAGTTAACACATTTGGGTGTTAACTATGAGCACATTTACAGTAGATTTGTGAATTTTTTGAAAACTCACTTAAAACAGTCTCGGTAGGTCCAACAGGTAACATATGTGCAGCACAGGAGAATTCCAGGTTTTCTTTATATACTGATCTGATACAACATTAAAACCACTGACAGGTGAAATAAATAACTGATTATATCATTACAACTGCACCTGTCAAGGGGTGGAATGTATTAAGCAGCAAGTAAATACTCATTTCATATGTTGGAAGCAAGAAGAATGGGTGAGATAAAAAGATCTTTGACAAGGGCCAAATAATGATGGCTAGACAACTGGGTCAGAGCATCTAATGGCAAGTCTTTTGGGATGTTCCCCATATGCAGTGGTTAGTACCTTTCAAAAGTGGTGCAAGGAAGGACAACCTGTGAACCGTAATCAGGGTCATGAACACCCAAGTGCTAGTGCGTGCCAGGGCCAGTCACGTTTCCACTGTCACTTCCGGGGTTTGATCGGGCCTCGTCGGGGCTTCCTCAGGGCCAACAGCCAGGGATTTTTGGCCCGTCAAATACCTTTGTTCAAAGCGGGCCAACACGGGCTTGAGGAGTGATAATGAACAAAGGAAGAGTTTATCCAAGTTAGGATACGGTAGGCACCGCTGCTCATTTCGCATGTATTCATATCAAGCAACCAGCTAGCATCAACATTTAATACATTTAAAACAATTTTAATGGCAAAACACACTTTCAGACAGTTGGTCTCATTCACTAATAATTGCATAGATTATTCGTATTTATATGCACATTCAAAATTCTCACGAACACTTTCCTCCTAATTCACACATAAGCATGTGCATATGAATTTCTTTTTATTTCTTACTTCTTAGTGTTAGTGAATCTGGAGTGTTCTAAATGAGCGGCCACGTGAACAAAGCTAGCCATTTGCATAAAACACGCCCAGACCATCTCCATAAAAGGGCTTTCCGCACACGCTTTCCTTACAGCCTTCCGTCACTCGCATCAAAGACACTCCATGCAATACACAATATAACACTGTTTATACAGACCCAGTTTACAGAGCTTACATTAGCTGGCTGTACATGCACTGTTATTCAAAGAAACCTTGCAGCTTGAGCTATAGTCTAACGCAGCTTATGTTACTCTTTCACTGTATAAATAATTTTAAGATAAATTATACTTTTTGATTATAATTCTAGTTCTGCATCCACATATGTCATACATTTCATATACTCTGTGTAACTCATAACTCTGATTTTCTGTCTGTGAGCTCCCTCTGTTGCTTTGGCTGAAAGGACAACTGTATAGTGAGAGGAGACAGCGCTCAAACCTCCTCAGATTACATGCATCTTGGAAAATTAATATAAATGCTCATTCTTTTCAAAGAAATTTGTTGAAAACATACAAGAGTTTATCAGTATTTTTATGTTGTGTTAAACGTATGTGTACTCATTTAGACTTAAAATCCCTAATGGAGATGTTTTGTGCATTCCTGTCGTCACAAATAAACAGAGCAACTGTGACTGAACAATTCACATGTGTTTTTATGTAAAATAATGATAAATATCAGTTTGATTTAGCATGCTGACACAAATTAATAAATTACTATTTTTATTGTAAATCATTGGTTTATAAAATATTGATGCTGAAGTCTGTCTTAAGTCTTTATGTAAGGACCAAACGTCCATTTCTGTTAAGTTTGATTTATGATATAGTTTACAGTACCATTGGTCTGACAGTGGAAACGTGGCTTGATCTTGGGCTCACGGCTCCAGGTGCGAGGCTATTGACCCCATCCGGCTTGTTGTTAGCCCTGGCTTGCGCTGACCCGACAGTGGAAAAGTAGCTATTGATGCAAATTGGGAGCAGTTAGTCTGTCTGGTCTAGTCACACAGAAGAACGTCTCCAGGTTACGCATGTAACCATGGTTCCCTGAGGGAACGAGACGCTGCGTAGAAACGCTTTGGGAACGCCTTCAGTGTGACCACGCCCTGAATCGCATGTGAAATCAGTCCAATGGAAGGGCGAGACGTCACAGACGGGTGACGTAGAGACCAGGAAGCTATAAAAGCCCGTGCAGTGAAACCGGCGTCAGCTTCAAGGAATGAAGCAAGCGCTCGCAGGGATGCCGGAAGTATGGCACCGAGACGCAGCGTCTCGTTCCCTCAGGGAACCATGGTTACATGCATAACCTGGAGACGTTCCCTTTCAGGAACTTGAGCTGCATCGAAACGCTTTGGGAACGAGTATGCCCACGCGGCCAGACTTACAAATCCCTGCCTAATGTGGAAGAGCACAGCTAAGGCGAGAGAAAGGAGCCAGGAGTGGCGCAGAATGCAAGTAGCACCTGACAATGTAGGCGGGGACAACCCGCAGCGTCCCGAAGACCAGCTTCAGAAGGAGTTAGCCTTGACCCCCAAAGGAGAGGGGAGATCATGGGACTCGAGGCTATGGAATAGCATTCTGATCCACCGCTTAGCATAAGCTTCTCTGGCCAGAGGCCTCATCCTCAGCGCACCGTGGAGGAAACGTGTAACTAGGGGGTGTCTGCCCACTGACTGGCCACCGATACGGGCGTGGTAGCAACGGCCGCCACGTAGACTTCAAGGTGGAGTGGGTCAACCCTGCCCGGAAGTATGGCACCGAGACGCAGCGTCTCGTTCCCTCAGGGAACCATGGTTACATGCATAACCTGGAGACGTTCCCTTTCAGGAACTTGAGCTGCATCGAAACGCTTTGGGAACGAGTATGCCCACGCGGCCAGACTTACAAATCCCTGCCTAATGTGGAAGAGCACAGCTAAGGCGAGAGAAAGGAGCCAGGAGTGGCGCAGAATGCAAGTAGCACCTGACAATGTAGGCGGGGACAACCCGCAGCGTCCCGAAGACCAGCTTCAGAAGGAGTTAGCCTTGACCCCCAAAGGAGAGGGGAGATCATGGGACTCGAGGCTATGGAATAGCATTCTGATCCACCGCTTAGCATAAGCTTCTCTGGCCAGAGGCCTCATCCTCAGCGCACCGTGGAGGAAACGTGTAACTAGGGGGTGTCTGCCCACTGACTGGCCACCGATACGGGCGTGGTAGCAACGGCCGCCACGTAGACTTCAAGGTGGAGTGGGTCAACCCTGCAGAGAATCAGACCTGGGTCGAGCTGGCGGTCTCCGCACCAAGAAGTGAAAAGCTTCCACTTCAGGGCATACAGTTTCCTCGTAGAGGGAGCTCTGGATTGGAGAATGGTCTCAACAACCTCGGTTTAGAGACCAGAAGCTGTGAGTTGTACCCCCTCAGGGGCCATACCCATACTTCCACAGCTCCGGGGCGGGTGTGAAGATAGTACCCTCCGCCTGTGAGAGGAGATCCCTCCTGACGGGAATCTCCCGTGGAGAGCCGTTGAGAAGGGAAATCAGGTCCGAGAACTATACTCGGCCCAGCCAGAATGGGGCACTAGCAGCAGACGGACCCTGTCCTGGCGCACTCTCTCCAGAACTCCCGGGAGCAGAGTGATCTTGGGAAAGGTGTACAGCCCCAATGGAGCTGGATGAGTCAGAGAGAACTAGAGGGGACAGTGCGATGTCTCTCGAGTCACAAACAGGTCCACCTGAGCCTGGCCAAAAATTATCCATACCCCGGGCCTCGGCCCCTGCCTCAGCAGGATGTCTGCTCCCATAATGAGAAGCCCAGGAATGTGAACTGCTCTCAGCGAGAGGAGTTTGCCCTGGGACCACACAAGGATCTGGTGCGCCTGCCTGTAAAGGGGGCACGAACGCAGACCTCCCTGGTGGTTGATATAAGAGACCGCTGCTGTGTCGTCGGTGCGCACCAACACATGGCGTCCTCTTAGGTCTGGGAGAAAGTGTTTCAAAGCTAGAAACACGGCCAGCATCTCCAGGCAGTTGAAGTGCCATGTGAGATGGCGACCGGTGAGGGACGTGTCCGTTGCTAGCATTACGCAGCGACAAGGAGTTCCCAGCACCGAGCCCTGAGCCAAGAACTAAGGTTTCCTCCACATGTCTAAGGCACGTAGGCATTGCCGAGTGACCATGAGCATGCAAAGCGGGTTTCCCCTCGGAGAGAACCATGTACAGCAGGCCAAAGGTATCACATTGGACGCAGCTGCCATCAGACCCAGCAGTTTCTGGAACTGCTGACAGTGACTGCAGTGAGGATAATGCCCTGAAGTCACAGAGGAG